AAGCGGGAGAATGGGGCGGGGTGATGGAAAGCGGGAGAATGAGGCGGGGTGATGGAAAGCGGGAGAATGGGGCGGGGTGATGGAAAGCGGGAGAATGGGGCGGGGTGATGGAAAGCGGGAGAATGGGGCGGGGTGGTGGAAAGCGGGAGAATGGGGCGGGGTGATGGAAAGCGGGAGAATGGGAGAATGGGGCGGGGTGATGGAAAGCGGGAGAATGGGGCGGGTTGATGGAAAGCGGGAGAATGGGGCGGGGTGATGGAATGCGGGAGAATGGGGCGGGGTGATGGAAAGCGGGAGAATGGGGCGGGGTGATGGAAAGCGGGAGAATGGGTTTAACGTCGGCCGGTAAGGTCAGTATGCACGCTTGTGTGTAGGTATAAGGCGGAACTGGAACTCTGAAATCTCCCAAACTATGTGGATCGGAAAGGTTATAACCAAGTGTTATTGAAGTAGAAGGCCTAATTTAGTGGACTGGCAAGAATATGGCACTAACTGCATCTCTACAAACATACCTATTGCGCTGGTCACTTTGGTCGGTATGCGCGCCTGTAGTGCAGGTACCATGTAGGACTGGAATGTCTATATCTGCCAAATTACATAGATCCGATAGGTTAAAACATGGTAGGGGGGTGGGGAATGATATAATTTAAAAGAAATGGGAATACATATGGTATTCACTGTATTTGTACAGAGAGAATAATGCATCGGCCGGTAAGGTCAGTATGCACGCTTGTGTGTAGGTACAAGGCGGAACTGGAACTCTGAAATCTCCCAAACTATGTGGATCGGAAAGGTTATAACCAAGTGTTGTTGAAGTAGAAGGCCTAATCTAGTGGACTGGCAAGAATATGGCACTAACTGCATCTCTACAAACATACGTATTGCGCTGGTCAGTTTGGTCGGTATGCGCGCCTGTAGTGCAGTTACCATGTACGACTGGAATGTCTATATACGTCATATTACATAGATCGGAAGGTTAAAAACATGGTAGGGGTGGGGAATAGTATAATTCAAAGGAAATTCGAATACATATGGTATTCGTTGTCTTTGTACAGAGAGAATAATGCGTCGGCCGGTAAGGTCAGTATGCACGCTTGTGTGTAGGTACAAGGCGGAACTGGAACTCTGAAATCTCCCAAACTATGTGGATTGGAAAGGTTATAACCAAGTGTTGTTGAAGTAGAAGGCCTACTCTAATGGACTGGCAAGAATGTGGCACTAACTGCATCTCTACAAACATACGTATTGCGCTGGTCAGTTTGGTCGGTATGCGCGCCTGTAGTGCAGGTACCATGTACGACGGGAATGTCTATATATGACATATTACATAGATCGGATAGGTTAAAACATGGTAGGGGTGGGGAATAGTATACTTCAAAGGAAATGGGAATACATATGGTATTCGTTGTATTTGTACAAAGAGAATAATGTGTCGGCCGGTAAGGTCAGTATGCACGCTTGTGTGTAGGTACAAGGCGGAACTGGAACTTTGAAATCTCCCAAACTATGTGGATCGGATAGATTATAGCCAAGTGTTATTGAAGTAGAAGGCCTAATCTAGTGGACTGGCAAGAATATGGCACTAACTGCATATCTGCAAACATACGTATTGCGCTGGTCAGTTTGGTCGGTATGCGCGCCTGTAGTGCACCATGTACGACTGGAATGTCTATATATGCCATATTACATAGATCCGATAGGTTAAAACATGGTAGGGGTGGGGAATAGTATACTTCAAAGGAAATGGGAATACATATGGTATTCGTTGTATTTGTACAAAGAGAATAATGCGTCGGCCGGTAAGGTCAGTATGCACGCTTGTGTGTAGGTACAAGGCGGAACTGGAACTTTGAAATCTCCCAAACTATGTGGATCGGAAAGATTATAACCAAGTGTTATTGAAGTAGAAGGCCTAATCTAGTGGACTGGCAAGAATATGGCACTAACTGCATATCTGCAAACATTCGTATTGCGCTGGTCAGTTTGGTCGGTATGCGCGCCTGTAGTGCAGGTACCATGTACGACTGGAATGTCTATATATGTCATATTACATAGATCGGATAGGTTAAAACATGGTAGGGGGTGGGGAATAGTATAATTTAAAGAAAATGGGAATACATATGGTATTTGTTGTATTTGTACAGAGAGAATAATGCGTTGGCCGGTAAGGTCAGTATGCACGCTTGTGTTTAGGTACAAGGTGGAGCTGGAACTCTGAAATCTCCCAAACTATGTGAATCGGAAAGGTTATAACCAAGTGTTGTTGAAATAGAAGGCCTAATCTAGTGGACTGGCAAGAATATGGCACTAACTGCATCTCTACAAACATACGTATTGCGCTGGTCAGTTTGGTCGGTATGCGCGCCTGTAGTGCAGGTACCATGTACGACTGGAATGTCTATATCTGCCAAATTACATAGATCGGATAGGTTAAAACATGGTAGGGGGTGGAGAATGGTATAATTTAAAGGAAATGGGAATGCATATGGTATTTACTGTATTTGTAGAGAGAATAATGCGTCGGCCGGTAAGGTCAGTATACACGCTTGTCTGTAGGTATAAGGAGGAACTGGAACTCAGAAATCTCCCAAACTATGTGGATCGGAAAGGTTATAACCAAGTGTTGTTGAAGTAGAAGGCCTCATCTAGTCGACTGGCAAGAATATGGTATTACTTCCATGTCTACAAACATACGTATTGCGCTGGTCAGTTTGGTCGGTATGCGCGCCTGTAGTGCAGGTACCATGTGTGACTGGATTGTCTATATCTGCCACATTACATAGATTGGATAAGTTAAAACATGGTAGGTGGGTGGGGAATGATATAATTTAAAAAGAAATGAGAATACGTATGATATTCACTGTATTTGTACAGAGAGAATAATGCGTCGGCCGGTAAGGTCAGTATGCACGCTTGTGTGTAGGTACAAGGCGGAACTAGAACTCTGAAATCTCCCAAACTATGTGGATCGGAAAGGTTATAACCAAGTGTTGTTGATGTAGAAGGCCTAATCTAGTGGACTGGCAAGAATATGGCACTAACTGCATCTCTACAAACATACGTATTGCGCTGGTCAGTTTGGTCGGTATGCGCGCCTGTAGTGCAGGGAAAGTTGAGAGCTTTGCTTGCAGGGTTGGGTGTGTTGGGCATTTTGGGCGATGCGAGTTCTGTTGAAACTCCCTAAAATAGGTCAAGCAATGTTCTGTGTGCGATGTACTCATGTTTGAAAGCAGGACAGCATTCCTCGTTGGTCATGGAAATGTTTGTCAAACAACTTATTAACAAAAAAACTTTGGCATGACATGAATTTAGAAAGGCAATACTGGTTCAATGACCCTTGTTCGTCTGGTACTAGTCTTAAATATTGTCCATTGAGTGGTACCAGTTAATCTGTTTGGATGTCTTATGATTGCTGAAAACTTAGTAGCATGGTGTCCTTATAGTGAAATTTTTTAATGCCCGTACTTAGCGGAACTAGCCACCTTGGCACCTAGCTTCGTTACAGGCGTTTTCCGTTTCGCCCCGTTCGCCTAGTCGGCTGGGCTGCTCCCTCCGACCACGTGCGTCTGGTTGTTCACCACCACCACAAGGCCCTTGCCTGCCCCTGCTCCGTTGCCCTTCACCCTTGCCTCGCCGCTTGTATGCCCTGCCTCCCAGATCATGGGGTTATTATCTTGAGCTGTTTGCGGAAATGAGCGTTTAGTCCCTCGGCACCTCGCTTCAATCGACGCAGTACATATATCGTAGAAGAGAGTGCGTTTATCGACCTGCCATTGATTTTTGCTTTCCGTGCCGCACTGCACTCTGCGGGCTGTCGACATGCTCTTCGCTGTTTGCTCACGTAGCCTGAATGACGTGGCGTTGACACACGTGGACGATTAGTATTCCGTGCGGCTCGAGTCCGATCTTCGTTATTATCCCGCCTTGTGTGCTGATGGCGTTGCGTCCACCTGTCTCCCGAAATCGACTGACTCTAACCTCCGTGGCGCGTGTAGCATTTCTGATCGCATTAACCCTTAATCCTCTCAGCGTTCACGCGGCCGCAGGCGCCGATTTAAAGACACTGACAGCCGATGCGGGCGACTTAGAGGCGCGTAGTGCGCGCAGCGGCGGCTGGCAGAGGAAGCAGCTTCTCGACCCGGATCGCGATGTCGCCGCGCTCTCGTTGCCGCTGCGCAGCGTTGCGACGAAAGCTTCGAACGCCGCAGAACGCGCGTCTGACGCGAGTGCATTGGACGATACCAGCAGCGTGTTTCACAGTGACAGCAGGAGCGATCCCCGCGGTAGCGGTACGAGTGGCATTAGCAACGGCGGCAGGAGCGACGTTAGCAGCAGCGGCAGGAGCGGCGTTAGCAGCGGCGGCAGGCCGCAGTGGCCGAACCGGCCGCACGTGTTCGACCTGGCGGACTTCGGCGGCGTGGGCGACGGCGCGACGGACAACACGCGCGCGCTGCAGAACGCCGTGTACGCCGTCAGCGGCGTGGCGGACAAGGGCGGCGGGCAGCTGTACGTGCCGCCCGGCGTGTACGTGACGGGCAGCGTGAACCTCACCTCCGCCATGACGCTCTTCCTCGCGCGCGGCGCCACCATCCGCGGCAACCCGGTACGCGCGCGCGCGCGGGGGTTGCCTGCAAGCGGGGGCCGGGAAAGAGGGAAGGTTCTTGCGCTGCATGTGGGGAGGCTCGCAGGAGGCGCATGGGGCGCAAGGGGCGGTTGTTTGCTGGTTTCGTGGGCGGTTGTGGTAGGTGGCAATGCGGTGTCCGTCCTCCTCTGCATGCCTCCTTGCAATTTTCCTCATCATCACCCGTCCCTCCATGCCTGCTTGCCTGCATGGGTGCATGCCTGCATGGGTGCATGCCTGTATGGGTGCATGCCTGCATGGGTGCATGGGTGCATGGTTGCATTGTTGCATGGGTCCACGGGTGCATGTCTGCACGACTGCATGACTGCATGCGTACATGGCCACACGGGTGCATGGGTGCATGTGTGCATGTGTGCAGGACCCAGCGCTGTGGCCGGTGATACCAGCGCTACCATCGTACGGGCGCGGCAGGGAGATGCCCGGGCCGCGCTACAGCAGTCTGCTGCACTGCCACAACCTCACAGACGTTGTCATCACCGGTGCGTGTGTGCACGCGTACAGCTGTAGCGCATCCTGCTCACCACATTCTGCAGCTCACCCCATGCTGCAGCTCGTGCAATCGTCCATCCCCTCCCCCACCACGCCCTGACCTTCCACCCTCCCCCACCACGCCCCCACTCGCCCACCGCTCTCTGACCTCCTCCCCGCCCCCATCTCGCCCTACCTCTTCCCCTCGCCCTGCCCGAGCAGGCGACCACGGGGTGATCGACGGGGGAGGGGCGGAGTGGTGGGAGAGGAAGCGAGGGGGGGTGCTGCAGCACTCGCGGGGGGCGGTGGTGGAGGCGCTGTGGAGCTCTGCTGTCACCGTCGCCAACGTCACTCTCACTAATGCCCCCGCCTGGGCTCTGCACCCCGTCTACTGCACGTCCGTGCCCCTCTCCCCCCTCCCTGCTTGCTTTTGCCCATGTGCTCTTGTGCTTTTATACCCTTGTAACGGTCTCTCCTTCACATGGCCGTGCCAGTCTCCATTCTTGCCGCGCTCACCCGTCACACCCCTCACGTGCATCCGTGTGCCTGTGTTGGTGCGTGCAGCCACGTGCAGGTGTCCAACGTGACTATCACCGCGCCTCCTGACTCGCCCAACACCATCGGGATTGTCATCGGTAACTCCCCAATCCTCTGCTCCCACCACCTCTCCTTCGCATCAATTCATCATGAGTGTGGGATTGTTGTTTCTACCGTAAGCATTTCCCCTTTGACCGACACTCCTCCCCCCATGCCTCCTTGCCCGCACAGACTCCAGTGAGGATGTGCTTATAGAGGGCGTGACGGTAACCACAGGGGGGGGCGGCATCAGCATAAAGAGCGGGTGGGACGAGTACGGGCTGGCGTTCGCCCGCCCCTCCCACGCTGTCACCATCCACCACTCCCACATCCAGACGCCGCTCGCCGCCGCCCTCTCCATCGGCAGCGAGATGTCGGGCGGCGTGCACTCGCTGCGCTGCCGCCACCTGTCAGTCTCCCACTCGCTCGCCGCCTTCCACCTGCGCACCGCGCCCGGCCGAGGGGGGTACATCCGAGACGTGCTAGTGGAGAACGTGACTATGCTGAATGTGACTGTAGCGCTGGCCTTCCTCCCCACGTGCAGCAGCCACCCAGATGACCGCTTTGACCCGTCGGCTCTGCCGCGCGTGGCCAACATCTCCTTTGCTTCCATCTCCGGCTCGGGCATCTCGCAAGCCGGCAGCCTTATTGGCCTGCCTGCAGCCCCCTTTAGAGGTGTCTCGTTATCGGATATAAACCTGGAGCTGGTGGATGGCGGGAAGGGCTTTAAGTGCCGGGATGTGGAAGGGCATGCACGGAATGTGTCCCCTGCCATCTGCCCTGAGCTGTCCACTTTAAAAGCTGACCCACTAAAGTGTAGAGGATGTTCTTCCGTCAGGGAGCACGGTAATGGAGAGGATGAGCTGGACGCTAGAAGCAAGTGAAGTATGAGGAAGGTTTCGTTATACCAGTAGTGACAGTGTGGCTGCCTGTCTGTGTCTGCATAAGGCTGTAGCAGGGGTTCGTAACACCTCGTTATGGCTAACCCCCCTTCCACTTACCGTAGGTTCGACACTCGCTACGGTATTAACCCAGTATCCTACGGTCCTACCTATGTTAACATGGAAACAGCAAGTACACACATTGTCCACTCAGCATGCCCTTCAAGCAACATTCCATTCACAGCACAGCAACCTGTTGCTCTGCCAGCATGCATAAACCAGCCATCCATGCTTTCCTTCCCCCCCGCCTCCCTTTCCTTTCCACCTTTCCATCTCTCCATTTCCAGCACCAGATTATCGTCAACAACACCCTTTCGTTTCTACAGACCTTGGAACAAAGCCATTATTACTAAATAAAATAACAGGTTGTTCAAGCAACCTCATCATTCACAGCCTAGCAATTGCAAAAGCTAATCAACAGGGCCAGCAGCTGAGCTGCCAGGCAAGCATCCCTCTGCCCTACTCTCTCTACACCCATCAATCTTTGTCGGAAAATTTGGCTCTCTACCAACCAAGCTTCATCTTCCGGCACACCTATCAACATCAACGTCTCTCAGCAACTCCCATCTCACCATCAGCACACTATCAACATCATCACCGCAGACACCACCAGCCCAACCACCACCGACCCCACTCCCAACCCTCTCAACCGCGCTCCACTCTTCTTCGGCGTTTGCACAGGCGGGGGCGGCGGCGAGGGCAGCGACCCGGCAATCCCAAGGGGATAACCAGGAATCACAGGCCCGAACCCGGGCGAGAGGCGCGGAATCTTAGGGCTGGCGGGCGGCGGGCGCACAAGATTGTCATACACAGCGCACTTGGACGCGAAGTCGATGGTCTTGTAACCGAGGTAGCCCATGGAGCGGTCGGCCACCATGGCGGTCTGGCCGTCGGGCGTCCAGTAGACCCACGGCGTGTTGTTGGCAAACATTGGCTTGCCCAGATTCGCCATCGTGCCCGTCGCGTACGTTGTGTCGTACGCCAGTGCTGTCTCGTTCTGCACTCAGGGAGGGAGCGGAGAGGGGAGTAATGAGTGATGGCGAAGGGGAAAGGGAGCAGCAACACCAGAGAGGAACAGTCATGGAGATCCGAGCATGGAGAGAGCAAAGCCTGTTGGAGGAGAGGAACAAGGACAGGAGAGGTGACACGCTGCGCGTACCTGGTCGAAGGAGCAGCCGGTCTGAGCGGCCTCGAGGTTGAAGAGGTATGGCAGGTCGCGCTTGCTGGTGGCGCCCAGGAACTTGGACGCCGCGGGGCACGGCGAGCGCACGGCGAAGTAGTAGAGGTGCAGCGGCAGCTTGCACGGCGCGCCGTACCCCATGTAGAAGGGCGACGGGTACGCGCACTCGTCGAAGGGCGGAAACTGGTAGGCGGAGAGCGCGACGAGCGTCTTGTATGCGGGGCAGTTGATGTAGATGTCCGTCCACATGTCCGCGTACTGCTCCAACACACCTGCGCGCAGGGGAGACGGGGACGACGGGTGGCGGGGAAAAACGGGTACGATGAAATGAGGGAATGGGGAGAGACGGAGTATTAGACGGGCAACTGAAGCCTGGCGCGGTAAGGTACCGCGCGCGCGGAACGGAAAGTGCGCGGAGGGTGCGCGGAGCGGAGCGAGGGCGCGCGGGGCTCACTGTCGTAGAGCTTGATCCAGTAGTGCTGGATGATCTGCGCGGGGTCGACGCCCGGATACACGTTGGCGAGGAACGTCTTGACGCTCGTCTCGTTGAGCTGCCACCACTTGCCGAACGACTCCAGCACGTACAGCCGCCCCTCGTCCTTGTTCGTCACCATCATCAGCGGCGCGGGGTTGAGCTGCCCGTTGGAGAGCATGTCGAGCGGCTGCTGCGGGATGACCTTGCCGTCGATGCACGGGTAGAAGATGCGCCGCTGCTGCCGGTATATGTCCTTCACCACCGGCGTCTTCGCCACTATGTCCTGCCACCGTGTCTGCACCAGGGGGAGCGGGAGAGTGGGGGATGGCGGACGAGAGCGCGATGAGCGAGGGCAGGGGGGAAGGAGACGGGGATGCGTGGGGAGTAGCGGGTGGCGGGCGCGGGAGGGTGCGGAGAGGGTACGGAAGTGCGGTAAAGAGGCTGCAACTAGAAGACAAGTTTACGAGCCAATGCGATGGAGTGTCGCAGGGTGTCATGGGACTGACCTGTCGCAGGCACTCGAGTTGCGTCTCGGGGTCGAGGGGGCAGTTCAGCGCCTCGGCGAGCGTGTAGGTCGAGTCGTACGCCTGGCCGTGGGGCAACGGGGGGACGGCGGCACGAAGGCACCAGTGGGAAACGGGGAATACGTGAGCGCGAGTGACGAGGGGGACGACGGGAGCAAGGCAACTGGCAGAGCATAGGCGCGCTAGGAACCCGACGGGGACTCACCCTGTTCTGCGTGAAGAGCGGGATGGCGGCGCCGTTGGAGGCGACGGCGGAGGTGAAGAGGTCCTTGGAGAGCGGACTCACCATGTGCAGCATCACGCTCACCGCGCCTGTCACACCCACACCCACGCACACGCACACGCACACGCACACGCACGGGCACACACGTAAAAACGCGAGGTGAGCGGAGAATTGCGGGGAGGCATGTGTGCAGGTCACGGCGCTGTCGGACGGAGCGACATGGATGGGGCTTCGAGATCATCACTGCTCGCACTCTCCCCCTTCGGGCTCGCCGCGCGCATCACTAAACCTTGATTGGATTATGCATCCCACGCCTATCTACCTTTTCCCTCCACCTCGCGCCCGACAGTCGCACGCACCCTGCCCTGCACTCCATGATCAGCACGCTCGGATAACCCTCGAGAATCTTCATTCTAAGCCTTCCTACCCCTTCCGTCCGTCGCACGCCCAACCACCGTCATAAACCCGCTCATCCGTGCCGCAGTATGCGCACCTGCGTTGTGGCCCATGATCTGCACGGACGAGTTGCCGCCGAAGTACCCGATGTACTTGGAAATCCACTTGAGCGCCATCTGCTGGTCCAGCAGCCCTGCACGCACGCCGCGACCAGAGGGAGGGGTGGATGATAGGGAAAAACGACCACGAGGTAAGTCCAAAGCGGCCAGCGTAACCTGGCTCAGGCACTTGATCGGAAAGGCGAGGGGGGACACGGCGCGAGGAGCAATTCATGCAGGCGGCGATGAATTGGGAACGACAGGGAACAGGGTGAGGTGCGGGGGATTCGGAGGCGGGCTCACCCCAGTTGCCAGTGGTTTCGCCCTCGGAGAAGGTGGAGGGGTGCGCGAGGAAGCCGAGCGCGCCGAGGCGGTACTGCACGATGACGAGCGTGGTGTTGGTCTCGGCGACGGACTGGCAGCCGTTGACGAAGTCGTCGGACGCCGACCCCTTGTAGAACCACCCGCCGTGGAACAGCACGCGCACCGCCGTGCTGCTCGCCGTCGCGTTCGCCGGCGTGAAAATGTTCATGTACAGACAGTCCTGCGGTGCACAGCGGTGGGGAGGGGTGACGCGGATGCGAGTAGATGAGCTAGGGTTGCAGGGTGGAGGGAGCAAACGGAAAGCATGCAATCGGAGGCCGGGCAGTTATCCGTCACGGCTAACAGAGGGACGAAGATTACGGGAGAAAAGTATCACCGCGAATAACACCAAACACCGAGCCATAACTTGCAAGCTCCCCGACCAACCCCAAAATCACCCTTCAGAAACTCGACTCGCGTAAGAACATGTGCGCGCTTCTCCGATCGCATCGCACTGACCTCTCTGATGTTGTCAGTGACCGCGCGGTATGGCTGCGGGCACTTGGGCGGGGGCGTGTCGGCGCGTCTGTAGGGGAACGGGTACTGCTTGTCCCACATCACGGGCGCCGCGAACCGCAGCTTGCCAGTGGGCGGCAGGGCGTAAGGCACGCCGTAGAAGGCGGAGACGTTGGTGAAGCCCGGGCATCCCGTGCCCTGTATGGGTCCGAAGCCCTTGATCCAGATCTGATTGTTCACCTGCACCGGCCGCGGCGGCGGCTTGCACGCCACGAGCGCTAAGGCGGATAAGAGTACGCATGCTGCCAGGGTCCATCGTAAACTACTTGCCATGGCTGTCATTCGCAGGCGGATTACGGCTTTCTGATAATTTGTTGCTGTGATACGCTCTACCTCAATTCGGTACTCGCAAGCGAAATTAGGGAGAGCAGCAGGTGAAAGACCACCAGCCCAACTTTCGATTTCCCGTGCGTTAGAATCTATTTCCCCGAGTGACAACAAAGTAGTGAATGCAGCGGTCGACCCGTGACTGATGGATGGATCGATGCCACTTGGTGCGTTGCCTTATGCCTTGTGACGCTCTGCAATAGAAAGCAGGGAGGGAGCTATGTGAAGCCACCGTGCCATGCCAAGGGAACGCGCAAGGGTTGGGAATGGGTGGAGAAATCTCAATATGGCAGGGGCTTGAATGCGCGGCTCGGCTGTAATCGAGCGGAGGCGAGGCGAATGTCTGTGTCGGGGGGCTCCCTTCCAGCGCAGAGGAGCAGAACAGCCGAATTGACTGCGACGCGAGTGCCCCGCCAAAGGCGTTCTCGTCAAGGCGCGTCAGCAAGCTGACACGGGGTTTCGTTCGACGCTCCACTCAGCCCGTGTGCTTGGGAGGATGGAAATTAGTCTCCACCAATAAGACTCGAGGATGCGTCTGTCACGTCCGCTCTGACCCCGCAGGCGACGCCAGCCGAGGAGAGTGCACGACTTGAAGAACGCTCAATTGTAGAACAGAAAGTATGAATGTAAAGCACGTTCTACATTGAACATGTTATTCATATGTTAATAATTCCCATCCTCTTCATTAAGTTTCATCAACTCATAGAAAACAGAGTGGAGAATCAATCATTTTTCTCAAAATTTTTATTTTGAAGAAAAAAAATCGTGAGCAAAGAGATGCTAAAAATCTGCCGCAAATGGCATTGTGTGTAATACCAGCTATGTGTGACCTGATAGTTCTCATATAGTTAACGAGGCTGCTTGTAACAACTTCAAAACCATCTACTGTTACTGCACCCTGATGCGAAAGCCGTCAGCTTTCCTTCGATTGGCTTGATCGCATCGCCTGTCAGAAGCAAAACCCGCTCGAACCGCAACGCAACGGTATAGACAACCTGGAAGTTGGTGGTGCAGGCGGGGTCAACCTTGGAAGTTGCATCACAAGGACCAGGGCTACCTAGCGGCTTGTTCGGGCATTGCTTTCCCGCCTCTCAAAAGTTGCATCGAGGCCTTTCTGGGAAGGCAGGACGAACAACGACACTCCTGATAGCGAATCCTTTCGCATCCAGCGTTTGTTCCCAAGGACTCTCACTCTCTGGTCCTATGGGCCCAGCATCTCCCTACATCACGTCCATTCCTGCTCAATTTTAGAAGTTTTACTTTGCTAGCTTATCGACTTACCTCTGACACGGGTACAATTGGAGAGCTTTCGCGGAACCTATCGGAAGACGACAAGAAGGATTATTTTTGGCGAACTAGTCAAAGCACATCACTTTAGGAGCATCGACGACGTTCCGCTAGAATCCCAGTAGTACAGCTGTGAAGTAAATGTTCGAACAACTTTCCGAAGGCATGACCTGGTTCTAAATCTTTCATTTTGTGGCTGAATAATCGGCGAGTGCCAAGATGATGGACAGTAAGCTAGTCAGAAGGTTTTCCTTCAGTCCGAGTAAGAAGGCGCCTCCGAGTCCTAGTGGCAGTACCTCCAAGCGGAGAGTCAACTATGCGGGTTCCAAGTTGCCTCTGCCGGGATTCGCATCTCCCGTAGTGCCAGAAGATGAGGCCACGTCATCAGGCACCTCTAACGAGTCAGCGAGCCGCCACACAACCGGCACTCCGAATCTCCTCTCAGCGTTTAGGCCGTCTAGGCAGCCGACGAGTCACGCACCGGCACCCGGCCCCCCTGTCGGTAGTCAGTCAGGTCTTAAGCCGATAATGGCCCGCTCTTCGAGTCCGAGTCCTAGCAACCATACGGTGCGTGGGGGTGCCATGCCAGGGCCACGTGTTCACGCGCAGCCCCAGCCGCGACAGGTGTCGTTCGCGCCGTCGACCCAGCAACATCCAATGCTGGTGCCGGAGATGGCGGTCGTGCCCAACCCTCTGGAGAACGAGAACGTTCTAGTCACCGTCCGGTTCCGCCCGCTCAGGTTCGTCGGCAGACTCGCAGCGTAGAAGTAGTCGTCCGCGTTGCGTGAGCAGGTGAACATGGTAGTAGCTCATGGGGACTGACTGACTGTTGTGGCCGCGTGATGGTGTGGTGGTGGCAGCTTGAGAGAGATTCAGCGTGGAGAGGACGTCGGGTGGTACGCGGACGGCGACAAGATCGTGCGCATGGAGTCGAACCCCGCCATTGCCTATGCCTACGGTTAGTGCCTTAGTAGCTTCAGCACCCACTAGACGTATCGCGCCTTCTCATGCTCAACGATGAGAGCTTCAAGACAGCACATACTAGGCATGAGCTAAGGCTCCGTAGCTAGTGATTCCCCCCACCACGACAGCAGGCCTTTCCGCCAGGGCATTTGAACCTTTCGACATAATGCCACTCTGGTTGGCCCACTCACATTACTCCTTACCGTCACTCTTACTCGCCTCGTTCTCCCGTGCCCCACCCCTACCATTCTGTGCGTGCAGACAAGGTGTTTGGGCCCGCAACAACGACGCGGGGGGTGTATGACGTGGCAGCGCAGCCCGTCGTATCCGCTGCGATGGAAGGAATCAACGGTGAGAAATAATTTCGGAACGGTAAGCAATGATGGTTGAAAAAGAACCAACAACACGACGCACGGCGCCAAGCGGGTCTTTTCATCCCCCTCACTGTGTGTGCGTGTTTGTGTGTGCGTGTGATGGCAATGTTGGCCTGTGCATTTTCCCTCCAGGAACGGTCTTCGCGTACGGCGTCACGAGCAGCGGGAAAACGCACAGCATGCACGTGAGTAGAAAGCGCAGCACGCGTGCGATGCGAGTAGAAGCGGAGCATACGTGTGAGAAGTAAGCGCAGCCTGTATGCGAGCAGAGCGCAGAGCATTAAATGATACGCGCAGCATGCATGTGAGTGAAACGCGCTGCGAATGACTGCGCGTCACACATACCTCCTCTTGCCCCCGTCGCCCTCACTGTCCACCCCGTCCTACCCTGTGCTTCCCCACCGCGTGCGTGCGCTGATGCGCGCAGGGCGACCAGAAGTCTCCGGGTGTCATTCCGCTGGCCGTGAAGGAGGTGTTCAGCATCATCCAGGATGTGAGTGATGAGTATGGTTCCGGATGCGAGTGATGAGTATGATTCAGAATATGAATGTCAGCACAGAACGATTGATGTCCGCCCCCTGTCGTACACCCACCCTCCAGTTCTCTCATGTCGTCCTCCATGCCTCGCTGCCGTTCTCTCATTCTCTCCTCTCACCCTTGTGCCCGTCTCTTCGTTTCTGCCCTTCCCCAGACGCCTGGTCGCGAGTTTCTACTGCGGGTGTCGTACCTCGAGATCTACAACGAGGTACTCACCGCGCTGCCTTGCCTTGCCTTGCCTTGCCTTGCGCTCATGCACCCGCCGCCACGCATGCATGCATCCAGCGCCTTGCACCGCGTATGCCATCTGCCGCCTCGCATTCATGCACGCATCTGCCATCTTGTATGCGTCCGCCGCCCCTCCCACATGTTTAACACCACACGCATTGGCTAATCGCGCAGCTCCACTCCATTAACACATAAGCTCGTGCGCCCTACCGTCGCGCCTGTTGCGCGCCCGCCGTGGCACGGCGTCGCTCATCCGCCCGCCGTCCCCACGCGTCGTACATGGCAGGTGATCAACGACCTGCTCAACCCCGCCGGGCAGAACCTGCGCATCCGCGAAGACGGTCAGGTGCGGAGAGGCGGGAGGTGGGGAGAGGGGGGAGGATGTGGGGAGGAGCACAGGGGGCGAGCACAAGGGGAAAGCAAAGAGAGAAACAGGGGAATAGGCGAGGGGGGAGAGGGGAAACAGAGGAGAGAGCGGGAACGAGAGAAATTGAGAGGGGAATGAGGGGGGGGCCAACGAATATGCGACTCGTTTCACGCTGCTCCGTGTGTGCCACCCCTTGCCTCGCCTCCCCTAGCAACCCCTGCCCTGCCATTCCCTGCCTTCCTCCACCCGGCCGTGCTGCCGTGCCCTGCCCGTTCTTTCCCTGCTCCACGAGCAGCACGGCACGTTCGTGGAGAACGTGAAGGAGGAGGTGGTGCTGTCAGCCGCGCACGCGCTCTCCCTCATCGCCGCCGGCGAAGGCAAGCCCCTCCTCCCCCCAGTCCTCTTCCTCCTCCGCCTCCTCCTCTCCCACCCGCCCTTGCGAGTTTGTGCTGCTCGTCGTGTGTGCATCGGAATCACTCTCTGCGCATCTGTGCGCGCACTTCACCTCGTGCGGCTCACTTGTGTGCGCTCACTCGTGTGTGTGCAGAGCACCGGCATGTGGGCGCCACGCACTTCAACACGGCCAGCAGTCGCAGCCACACCATCTTCACTCTCGTGAGCCCCTCCCGGTTCCCCGCTCCCCCTTCCCCCTCGCCCCCTCTTCCCCCCACCTCCTGCTCCCCCTCATTCTCTTTCAAACACCTGTTTTTTTGGAGCTCGTTGCACCTTATGCCCAAATTGTGGCTGCTTAATCTTGCAACCTGCCCTGCCATTCCCCTCACTCTCGATTCTTCCCCCCTACGCCTGGTTGTGCGGCAGACCGTGGAGAGCAGCGGGCGGGACTTGGAGGGGTACGAGGAGGTCACCTACTCGCAGCTGGTACGCCGCCCTCCCCCCTCCCATGCGCCCCTGCCCTCCACTCCTCGTTTGTCCCACTCCACACTGATGTATGCTGATGTATGCCGATGGACACGTGCATGCTCTCCCAAATACATGCTTGCCTTGCCTTGTTCCTGCGCCTCCAGTCTACGCATTCAGTCTGCGCCTCATCTGGAGCGTGCTCTCTTCTAACTGCACCTGTGTGTGTGTGTGTGTGCGTGCATGCGTGCGTGCATGCGTGTGTGTGTGGGGTATCAGAACCTGATCGACCTGGCGGGGTCGGAGAACAGCCGAGCCACGACGGGCAACAACGTGCGGCGCAGGGAGGGCACGTTCATCAACAAGAGCCTGCTCACGCTCGGCACGGTCAGTCGCCCCTCACACTCGCCACGGTCAGTCCGCCTCGCTCAGCATCGTCGCCTGCATGCTACACGCACTTGGTGTGCTGCTCAACCTTCATGAAAAGAATGCCTTTACATTGCCCATGGGGTGTAGTATTCATGACCCTCACCTGTCATGGCACTGTGTCGTGGTGCTGTACTGGTGTGTGATGGTGCGGTGATGGGTGGAGCAGGTGATATCGAAGCTGAGTGAGCGCAAGCAGTCGCACGTGCCGTACCGGGACTCCAAGCTCACACGTCTGCTGCAGACGTCACTGAGTGGCAATGCGCGCATCTCACTCATCTGCACCGTCACCCCCGCCTCGGGCACGCTGGAGGAGACGCACAACACGCTCAAGTTCGCCTCGCGCGCCAAGCACGTTGAGATCCGCGCCAACGCCAACAAGGTCAGCCACACTCACACATGGGACGCAAGACACGCGTGGGTGGGTGGGGTGGGCCCCGCTAGTGGGCACCCGTCGGACCTCTGTTGGCCTCATATGATGCATTTTCTGTCTCAATGAATGACCTCCTTGGAGGGTGAAGCGCCTCTCTTGTTGCGTCGAGGAGTGGTCCTGTCCCACTCTCATCTGTGTGTCCGCTCTTCTCCCTTCCTCCCCCCTCCCCTGCGTGGTGGCACGGCATCAGATACTGGACGAGAAGTCGCTGATAAAGAAGTATCAGAAGGAGATCATGGCGCTAAAGGACGAGCTCACGCGCCTCAAGCACACCATGTCCCACGCGCATGCGCCCGGCCCCCCCGCACTGCCCTGGGGGGCGTCGCCTGGCAACGGCAACATGGGCGACAGCGGGGGAGGAGACATGGGCGGGCAGGACCTTGCAGTGCTGCGGGAGAAGGTGAGCTGGTGGCAGCTGCCTCTGCGCGCCCCCCTGCTGCTCACTGCTGTTGCTCCTTCGTTGGCGCTGTGCGCGGCTGGCTGTGCCTCATCCTCCATTTTCTTCACCTGCTTCCCTCTTTTCTCTCCTTTGTGCTCTTCCAAATCCCTTGCCCTCGGCGTCCTTCTTACCTGCCCCCCTCCTTCGCCTCCCCTTTTTCCCCCCTCCCGCCGTCTCCTTTCCACTCGATGCAGCTGGAGGCGGATCAGATGTTACTGCAGTCGAGGTTGGAGGAGGAGGAGGAGGCGAAGGCGGCGCTGATGACGCGCATACAGCGCCTCACCAAGCTCATCCTCGTGTCCTCCAAGGCCTCCTCCGCCTCCAAGCCCGCCCCCCCCCACCACGCCCCCCCCACCGGCCGCCTGCGCCGCCGCCTCTCCTTCGGCGAGGAGGACGTGAGTAGCGTGCCCCCGCATGGCTCTTGCACCACTTGCCCTTGCGTGACGGCCTTGTTAACATGTTTCTGCTTCTGCTTGATGCGCCTTCACGGCGCAGTAGCCTTGCCTCTCCTGCAACTCTATACGCCTCCCTTTTGTTTCTCTAATGCGCTCCTCCCGTCCCCCTCCCCTCCCCTCTCCTTCCCCTCCCAATTCGTCCGCACGCGTGGCATCGTGTCGTCATGCCAGCTGGCGTACCTGAAGCAGCGGCGCATGGACCTGGGCTTCGACCTGCTGGACGACGCCATGGGCGCGGGGGGAGGCGCGGGGGACGACCTGCAGCGCCTGGGGGGCACGGTGGGCGCAGCAGGGTCGCGCTCTGTGAGCATGTACAGCGGCGGCAGTGGCAGTGGCGCTGCCTCGCCCCGAGGGACGGGCGCAGGCGCAGATGGGGGCGGGGGAGGGGACGACGATGGGGGTCCCATGATCCTCAAATGGCTTCGCTCCAAGGTGCGTCCCGTGGGGTGGGGAGGAAGGGGGGGAGAAGGGAGGGAAGATGGTGGTGATTCAAGGAATGAACGAACGTGAGATGGTGGGATTGTAGAAGCGGGTGAGAGGGAATGCAGAGAGTGGTGCATGAGCACCCACCTGTTGTCCTGCCGCCCTCACCGCCACCCTCCTCTCCCACCTCATCTACCCCCCACTCTTCCTTGGCTTGCCCTTGTGCGCAACAGAAGGACGGGGCGGGCAGCAAGGACGGGGACGGCGAGGGGGGCCTGCACGCGTCACTGTCGGGCAGTGAGAACGTGGACCCCATCCTCACTGCCCGTGGCACGGATGGCGGTATGGACGCGGGCAGAGCAGGCAGTGACAGCGGCCAGTGGCTCACGCGGGTCAGCAGCGGCACGGACAGCTCGGAGGAGCAGGCAGGGGAGGCGGGGGCGGGGGCGCCCAGGATGATGCGCGCAGTGCGGCGCACCGCGTCGCTGCTTAGTGTGGACGAGGCGGGCACGGGGGGCGGGATGGGCATGGGCGGGAGCATGGGCATGGGTATGGGGGGAGGGGGGCGGTGTGTGGAGACGGTGCGGGCGTCGACACAGGCGGGGGAGCTGTTTCACATCACCGGCGTGCGAATCCCATCGGTGCGTGCGGGCGTGTTCATGATCTGCTGAGCTGGATGCTACACGCGAAGCCCTTTTTCCTCGTCATATCCCGTTTGTTCTCTTCACCGTCCCATGCACCCCTCTCACCGTCCACTCGATCTCCCTTTCCCCTTTCGCCCTGCCTCCCTTCTCCCCACCTACGTCTCCCTGCCGCCATCCGCCCTGCGGGTGTGGAACAAGCAGAGCGGCACCACGCTCATGGACCAGTGCGAGCTGCTGCGGGAACAGGTCAGTGGGCAACGCAAGCCGCTGTGCTGAAATCAACTGGCGACTGCCACAGCATAGCACTCACACACACACGCCCACACACAAACGACTCTCCTGCATGCACCCTTCCAACTGCAACGTATGAGCATAACAGACACTTGGACGTGGGATCCGTTCCCCTCAGCTCACCCTTCCTGCTGTCTCCTCCTCCCGCTCCTCTTTCCTCCGTCCTACCTGCCCTCCCCCCCTCTCCCCGACCCCCTACACCCGCAGGTGAAGATTCTGTCGGCGGAGGTGGGATTCCACACGTCCAACCTGAGGCGCCTCATCGACAAGGGCGAGAACACACCGCAGGAGCAGCAGGAGATCGAGGTCAGTCAAGCCAACGTGCAGGGAGCGGGCTGGACAGACCTGAGTGGGGCCAGAGGTGCAGAGGAGAGCAGCAAGGGCGCCAAGTTTCATGATAGTTGATTCATGCTTACCAGGCTCTGACGTGACGATGCGGTCTCTCAGCCTCCCCCTCTTCAATACCTGTCCCGTGTCCGCTGCTTCTCCCTGCGCGCATCCTCCCTGTGTGTTCCCGGGTCCCACAGCGGCTGCGAGTGGAGCTAGCGGGCAAGCAGCAGCAGCTGCGCGAGATGGAGGAGCTCATGCGGCGCAGGCAGGGCGACCAGCCCTCCCCTGCTGCCAGCGCCGTGGCGGGCAGTGATGGCGTGGGCGTGGGTGCAGAGGCAGACACGGCCACACAGGAACAGATGGCCAAGGTGGGACGGGGAGAGGTGATGGCGTGCTCATGTCTCCCGGCCATGCCCCATGCCCCTCTCACCTGTTGCCCCACACGCCCTTCCATGCCCCATGCCTTTCTCGCACATATCCTCCACCGTCAGGTTCTGTCTCCCTTGTTTCACGCCCCATCCCATGCGCCCCATCCCGCTAAAACTCCCATGCCCTATGCTCTATGCCCTGTGCCCCATATCTGGTGCCCCATGCCCTGTGATCCATACCCTGTGTCCATGTCCCTCGTGGTGCAGACAATAGCGAAGCTCAAGGCTGTGCTGAGCGAGAAGACGTTTGACATGGAGGTGAGCGAGAAGACGTTTGACATGGAGGTGAGCGAGAAGACGTTTGACATGGAGGTGAGCGAGAAGACGTTTGACATGGAGGTGAGCGAGTGTGCTTCACATGTGCTTCACATGTGAATCCCATGTGAATCCCATGTGAATCCGATGTGAAAGTAGTTCCACTTCTGGGGCATGGCGGATGGCACAGCGGATGGGCTTGGGGTGGCGAAGGAACAAACTTGTTATTTGTGCTCGCTGCACTGGCATGCTTTCACCTCATTTCCTTGGTGACCTTACCACCTCCTGCTCGTTGCGTGTGCTCCCCTTTCCTGGCGGCCGTGTCAGATCGTGAGTGCAGACAACCGTATTCTGCAGGACTCGCTCAAAGCCAAGGTGAGCACCGCCAGCTCCACTGCCCTCCATCAATCTGCTCACTTCTTTTCTTACCAGAAGCAGCTCGCGCCATGCTTCTCCTCCCTTCCCCACCCGCACTCTCTGCCGTTACCGGCTCCTCACACCCCCTCCCACTTCTCGCCCCGTCTCACCCGCCCCCCTTGTCTCGCGCGCTCCCTTGCGCGTGCGGCACCAGACGCGGCAGGTGCAGCAGCTGATGGAGGAGGCGAACATGCTGCGAGTGGAGCTCACGCGCGCCATCAGCACCCGCCACGGCGCTGCCAGGGGGCAGGGGGACGCCAACGGGGAGGCTGACGGGCAAGTGGACGCAGCAGGGCAAGGGGAGGGCGAGGGTGGCACGGGGGCAGGGTCAGGGGGCGGTGAGGGGGGAGGGGGTGGCGGGGAGGGCATGGTGGTGGTGAGGGCGGGCGAGCTGGAGGAGCTGCGGTCGCAGGTGAGGCTGGCTCGGCAGGAGGCGGACATGCTGCGGCAGCAGCAGCACCAGCTCACCAAGGACCTTGCAGGGGCGCGCTCCCTCGCGCTCACCGCCTCCTGCTCTGCCCCTGCCGGTGCTGGTGCTGCTGGTGGGGCTGATGGGTCTGGTGCTGCAGCAGGGGCGCCGTCCCTGGCGTCGTTTTTGGACGGGGCGTACATGAATGGGCCGGATGGGCGGGCGGATGTGAGTGGATTGCTGCAGCAGGTGGAGGCGGCGAGGGCGCGGGAGGCGCAGTGGCAGGAGCAGCGGCAGCAGCACCAGCTCGTGGAGGCTGAGCTGGCAGCTGCTCGTGCTGAGCTGGCAGCGTATCGAACTGCTGCTGCTGCAGAGGCAGGAGGAGTGGAGAATGGGGAGGGCGGAGATGGTGGGGAGGTCGGAGAGAGCGCAGGAGATGGCGCAGGAGAGGGCATGAGGAAGCAGGGGGCGGTGGGAGCGGTGGCAGCAGTGGCAGCGCGGCTGGAAGCAGAGAAGGACGCGATGCTGGCGGTGCGGGAGAGGGAGGTGGGCGAGCTACAGCAGAGCCTGGCGGCGGCACAGCAGAGGGAGGCGGCTCTGGAGAGGGACTTAAGCACCATGTGGGTGCTCGTCGCTGAGCTCAGACACATGGGCGGGGGCAGTCGCTCCTCGTCTGTCAAGGACAGTGAGGGCAGCGGCAGGGAGGGGGGTGGGGGGGCGGCAGCGCGAGGGGGGTTGCTGGATGCGGAGGAGATGGCGGAGCTGGCGGGCAGCATTGGGGGCAGCGGGCGGTGGCTGGGGGAGCTGCGGAAAGGGGAGAGCATGCGCAGCGAGGGGGTGGGCAGTGAGGGGGGCAGCGAGGGCGGGGTGAGCCTGTCGGAGCGGGCGATGGAGCTGATCCGAGCGGGGTCGGCGGGTGGCTTGGGGGCGCGTGGAGGGGAGGGGGCGAGTGGGGAGGTGGAGGTGCGAGTGCAGATGGCGGTGGAGCGAGAGACGTGTGCGCTCAAGGAGGAACTCGCTCGGAGAAAGGTGCGCGAACGGGGTGCGAGTGTGGGATTGACAGAATGCCGTGCCTCCCTCCTGCCCCGTCACCAATCCACTTCCCCTCCTGTGTAGCTTTGAAGTCAGATCACCTGCGCCCTCCTCGCTCCCCCTCTCGCTCCCGCTGCCTCCCTCACTCTGCAGCATACATCCTCCCTTCCCCCCACCCCACGAGTGGCAGGGCGAGCAGCTGGCGGGGTTGACACTGAGGGAGCTGATGGCTCTGGAGGCGGACATGGAAACTGCTCTCACCAAACTCGAGGTCGCTAAGGTGCTCTCCCGCTCCCCCTCTCGCTCCCTGCTCCTCCCTTCCTGTTCCCGTCTCCCCTCTTTTCCCATACTGCTACTTTCATCCTGCTCCTTTTAACCTGCTCCACTAGAGTTCGTCCCTCGTCTCCTCTCTACTTGACACTCACAGGCATACAAACACAAGTCACAAAGACATGGAGTGAAGCTACTCGGAGGGAGGCATCTGTACCATACCGTCTTCACTCAGCTCCTTCAGATCTTCCCCCTCCTGCCATGCCACGCTGCTAATCCCTCCACCATGTTTTGCCAGCTGCCACTAAAACCATGGCTGCTTCACTGCCTCACCTTCCCTTATCCTCTGCTGTACGCTCTTCCCCTCCCCACCCCATCCCCTCCACGCTCCTCCCCTCTGCTCCCTTGCGTGTGGCATGGCGATGCAACGGTGCAACAACAACAACTTCATGCGTGGGCCGTGTGGCTTGAACGATGTCGCTCAACAATGTGGAGGGCAGATGCGAGTGCGGGCGGAGGGCAGCAGCACGAGCGGCTCAGAGATAGACCCGGTAGAGGACTGCCTCCATCACCTCCTCCCTCACCACCACCTTCATCATCCCCATCATGCGCATCATCATCTCGATGATGCCCATGATGGCGATGACGATGGCATGGAAATGGACTGCGGGGGGGATTATTTTTGCAAGAATTGTTTCGACGCCCCCATCTCCACGCAGACCCTGCCGTGCCACCACTCGTGCTGTACGCCTCGTTGCACCCTGCAATGCAACCATGCGTGCCCCGCTTTCTCTCGCCCTCTCTCCCCGTTCATCGCATTGCCTCTCTCACTCCCTCGTCCTCTCCCTTTCCCCATGCCTTTCCTTCAACACATGTGCTGCACACATCCCGTGTGTACCTGAACCACTGCAATCGCATCTTCCCTTGCTCTCAGTCTCTGCAACCTCGGCTTTGCAATCATTGCCGCTGCCTTTTCTTGCCATTTGTGCTCCTTGAGCGTGCCTTGAAATTCTTGTTCCTAGCACTCTCCTTCCTCCCACTCGTAGTCTGCTCTCGTAACACAAACATCCCTCTGCATGATGCCAATCATACCGGTACTTGCTGTGCCCCCCTGCCCCTCCACCTGCCATCACCCCTTCAACCATGCATGCACACAACAGACTGCGAGGACTGCGCCCGAGATGCTGACCTGTGCGCCACGTGCCTAGCGCCCGCTGCTGGCTTCCAGCCCATGCGGTGACACGCCAAGCACGTGGTGTGGTGCCACCCGCTTGACTCCTGACACACGTGCTTGCGTGCACTGCTCGCAGCAGGACCATTACTAAACAACCTGAGTGGGTAGCAGCAGATGTAGCGAGCGAGCACAGCATGGTCCGTTTGCATTGAAAGTATGAAGTAGCCCATACACATGAAGCACTAGAGAAGCTGCAACTAGGCGAACTTTGCTTGTTTGTGTTGTGCAATAGCTTTATATATTTATTCGAGGGCTTTGTCTCAGGGCAAGCGCGTGGGTGGAAACTTCAGATCTGATCTGGTGTCATAAAGCCTTCACGTGCTGCTCATGATTGCTTCAACTCGGCAAAATTGCGCGACGCGCCGGCGCGCGAACTTCTCTCAATCCCATCGACCAACCTCGCACCGCAGGTAGGGCGACCGAACCCCTCGCAAATGAATCGACCTACATGCGATTACGCGATATTGACATCCAATTTCATGTGTAATAAATGATGGTCTTCCTAATTGTCACTGTATCGCGCAGGATAATGTTTGCCAGGTGGTGTTCGTGTTTTCGTAAAAACAAGGTCGCAATTGTGGCTACATTGCCGTGACCTTACAAGTTTCGGTTGTTTTGTCTGTTTATGATTGCGCAAAAATGTTTCGTGCGCGTGTCAGGTATTTTGACGACATGATTTTCTTTTTTGGCGCGTGTCAAACGCGATTTTCTGAAACATCTACGGAGCTCTGAATCTATGCAGGGGCTGAAAAAAAACAAACCCCTAAAGGCAGGAACGCAATTTGGGAGGCATCAACCCTAAACACGAAAGCATGGTGTTTAGGGTTAATGCCTTAAATGTGGTGCAATTCGGGAGGGATCGACCCTAAACACGGGAACTGTCAAGGTGTTTAGGGCTGATGCGTGGAAAGTATGCCTGGCTCCCTACGGGGTTTAGTTCGTTTTACACCGTAAAATAAACCAGACCAAACAAAAACAGCATAAGACAAGCCTTGTCTGCGCGACCAGACTGAAGTGACGTCACACGTCGCAAACTTTGTCTTTTATGAAAGGATCGAAACCCCAAGCTGTAATCCCGCGTTTATGGCCGTAAAACCAAATGGCACCTGTAACGTCAATGTACCATCGTCTGAAGCATGAAAATAACGTGGAAGCGCATGTAGGTCGATCCATTTGGACGAGGTTCGGTCGCCCTACCTGCGGTGCGAGTTTGGTCGATGGAATTGAGAGAAGTTCGCGCGCCGGCGCGTCGCGCAATTTTGCCCTTCAACTCCCATCTAATAACAAGCTTGCTGGAGGAGCACAGCCCTACTCCGAAGCCGGCTGGCGGTGCCTGTCCCCGTCCTTGCAGCAGTACTGGTGCTGCAGCTTCACACACCCGCAACTCCTGATGGGGAAGGACGCATTGGGTTGGCATGAGGGGGTGTGGCATGGTGCGGCGTGGTAGCAGAGAGGGTGTGAATGGACGAGAGCCAGGCATGGACGGAGGTGAATAGCTGCGGCACTCACAGGCATCTGACCACCACCGGCACGGCCTTGAGCGCCTTGGGTCCATTCCTGATGCCCTTCCGCGACGGCGTCACCTGCACGTGATGGCGTGAGGGGCGGGAGGCACACGCAGGGTCGGATGGACGAAACACGATTGCTTGCAGCCACGAGTTAGACGAAACTGCTGCATACCTTCCTCTTAGGGACCGCCATAACCTCAAATCGATTCGCATCGTCTGGCGTCATCCGTGAATGCGACGGGGATAAAACGGAAGGGCCGGATGCGACGGGGACGGCAGGGTGAATCAACGGCTCAGCTGCGCTTCCTTGCTGCTCGACATCGTACGCCGTGCACGGAAGGGTTGGCTGATCGGATCGCGACGACGCGGCGCAACTTGGCCCGTGCGGAAGTCCGTGCGGGGAGGGGAACGGATGGGCGGAGGGGATGGAGGTGGAAAACGCGCGGTAGAATGCGCCGAGACACGCGCGCAGGTCGCACGGTGAGGTAAGGCGGCGAGCGAGAGCCATGGCTGTGCTGGCGTGCTGTGCGGAAGGCAAGGGGAGATGAGGAAGTGTGTCCCGTTACTGTCAATTTCGAAATTATGTAAGAAAACCTTCTTTCAGTTGAAGGTGGAAGATTTGTACACGATGTATAGAGTACATTACAAGCATTCAAGTGAAAATAAACTGGTTTGCAGCTGAAGTTTGGCGATGTTTGGTTGGATGAAGGTGGAGTGACGTGGAAAGCAGTACAAGGGATGGTGGTCGCCAGCCAATGATAATGCGGACAAGCTTGAGGCCAAAGGGCAACTGATGCGTTGGCAGTGTTTCACAGGACATCGCCTACGAGCTCACATTCAACGAACCTCAACCATTCGTTGCTGCAATCTGAAAGCTTCTGGACGACGAGAAAATTTGTGCAGGGCAGTTTTCTGTTTTCATGAACACTATTCGCAGCTACACTACCAGGAAGTTGATTTCTAAGCGACCCTTGGCAAAGATGGTGAAAACAAAAGAGGGCAGGCTCATGTGGTGGCGGCCACTTTTCATGATCTTGCCTTGCCCGTGCCGAGCCGAGCCGTGCAAAGCGCCGAGAGTGAAAAGTCATTCCACCTCATCACTGCATGCTGCTGTAAGCCTCGTCGCTTTTCACTCCTCTCCCACCCTCTACGAGACTGTTTTTCTATCGCCCCAGATACGCGGCAAGTTCACGCACTAATGTTATGAACCTTCCTGACCGCGTCAGTCGCGCAATCAGCGCGTAGAGCGGCGTAGAGGCGATCTCCAATTCACCCCGCGCCACTCTAGTCCCGCAAAGCGCACTCGCGCGTTTGGAGCGGCGCAAGAGCCGCGGGCGCCATGGGTGCGGCGAATTACGTGCCGGGCGGGGAGGTGGCGCTGCTGTTCATGGCTGTGTCGCTGGCGCTCGGCGCGCTGTGCCGCCAGATCTTCAACAACACGCGCGTGCCGTACACTGTCGCGCTGCTGCTCGTCGGCATCGCGCTCGGCGCGTTTGGTGAGCCCCCCGCGCACGGGGTAAGCGTACGCATCGCTCGGTGCCGCATCGGGAGAGCAGCGGCAGCTGCGGTGGCGTTTGTACGCGAGAGGGGAGCGTCGGTCGTAGGCCTGTCTGTGCAAGGACCATCACTAGTAGTAGGCTAGTCAAGGCGCGCGAAGCCGTCGCCGCTGACGTTCGGCTTGCGTGCAGCAGCAACGTCGGCGGCGCTTGGCGCGCCAGTAGCGGGCGTGTATTGCTGCAGCAGCTACGAGCTGGTAGAGTTGCCCGGAGCGTAGCAAACCCCTCTCACATGCGTCGTTCCCTCCTCGTCATCCGCGCTCCCGTTATCTCGCACACACTCGCACGCACTCACACTGGCGTTTCTCTGTGCCTGCACCCTCCCTCCCTCTTGTCCGCCTTTCCACCCCCGCGCCCCTCCCCGACGCGCAGAGTTCTACGTGGACCTGGGGCTGCTCGGCAACAGCATCCGCATGTGTACGTCCCGCCCGCCCCGCGCGCACTCACTCGGCCCGCGCGCACTCACTCGCCCTGCGCGCACTCACTCGCCCTGCGCGCACTCACTCGCCCCGCGCGCACTCACTCGCCCCGCGCGCACTCACTCGCCTCACGCGCACTCCTCTCGTTTGGCCGGTTTCGCGCTCAGCTCCAATCAGTTGCACCCCTCTTGCGCTGCTCGTCACCTGTCGCCGTTCTTGCTGCGACACGCACACCCAACCCGCGCCTTACACCGCTGCCTCACCATCCATCCTCGCCGCTCTTCCTCCTCCCTCTCTCCCTCCTTACCTCCCTCGCTTCTTCGCTCCCTCTCTAACCCCCCCCACCCCTGCCTGCCCCACGGCTCTCCCCGTCCCCCATGCGGCGTGCAGGGGCGGCGATCGAGCCCAACATAATATTCTTCGTCTTCCTGCCCGCGCTGCTCTTCGAAAGCGCCTTCGCCTTCGAGCTGCACCAGATCAAGGTGCGGCCCCCCTGCTCTGCTCCCTCTGCTCGCAATGCTGCCTCCGCGCAACACGCTCATTCATCTTTCTCCCCTTCCCCACCCTCCGGTATCTCCCTCTGCTATCCCCGCTGTCCCCCTCTGCTATCCCCGCTGTCCCCCTCTGCTATCCCCGCTGTCCCCCTCTGCTATCCCCGCTGTCCCCCTCTGCTATCCCCGCTGTCCCCCTCTGCTATCCCCGCTGTCCCCCTCTGCTATCCCCGCTGTCCCCCTCTGCTATCCCCGCTGTCCCCCTCTGGCAGCGGTGCATGTTTCAGATCTTCCTGCTGGCAGTGCCGGGTGTCGTCATCACCACGGGCTTCCTCGGCGTCATCTGCAAGGTTCGCTTGCCGTTTCTAAATCATCTGCATTTCCCACCCACAACACCACATCGCTCTCTCCCATCACACCACACTTCGCCCCCCCCCCCATCTCTCACATCTTCCTCCCATCACATCACAACACACTTGCTTTCCAAGTATTCCTCCTCCCCCTCTCTCCTTTCTCTCAACCCCCACCCACCCCCCCCACCTCCTCCCCCCCCCACCACCCCATCTTTGCCTGCATGGCACGACACGGCCCGCCCAGTGCGTGCTGCCGTACGGGTGGTCGTGGAGCACGGCCATGCTGCTGGGCAGTGTGTTGAGCACCACGGACCCCGTCGCCGTCGTGGCGCTGCTCAAGGAGCTCGGTGCTTCCAAGAAGCTGCGCACCATCATTGACGGCGAGGCGCTCATGAACGACGGGTGAGCGGTGATAAGAGGGGTTAAGTGGTGATAAGGGGTGAGGGACCAAGGGCGCAGGATGGGGTGGGTATGGCATTGCGTGGATGGCATGGCATGGGGAAACATCGTCCCTGCCTTCAACACTGTCTGCCTGCCCCTCTTCCTCCTTCTGCCCTCTTTCTCCATCGCGCGTCCGCTGCCCCGCTGACCTGCATGGGTGGCAGGGCGGCGATCGCCATATTCCAGCTCTTCCTGCAGCTCGTGCTGGGCTACTCCTTCTCAGCCGCCGAGGTCGTTGCCTTCATGTGCCGCGTCTTCTTCGGCGGGTGCGTACCCCCTCCTCTCACCCGCCCCCACCCCCTCCTCTCACCCGCCCCCACGCCTCCATCGGCCACGTGCCCCCATGCATGCACTACCCGTTCCGCTTGCGCGCTTGCAACTTTCCCCCTTCTGCCTCCCAACTTGACCATGCGCTGCACCGTTAGCCCTCAATCCATCCATCCATCCATCCCTCCCTCGCTTCCTCCCTCCCTCCCTCCCTTACCACGTCCCTCCACGGTTCACGCATCTCTTTGCTTCTCCCCCCTCAACCCTTCCCTCCCCTGCACGTGCGGGCAGCATAGCGCTGGGGATGGCGTTCGGGGTGGTGAGTCTGCTGTGGCTGCGCACCGTGTTCAACGACTACATCATCGAAATCACCATCACCATCTGCGGCTCCTACATGGCCTTCTTTGTCGTGCGTGCCCTGCCCCCAATCATTCACGCCCACTCACTCACTCACTGTGCCATTCCCCCACTCCCTCACTCACCATGCCACACCATGCCACATCGTGCCACACCATGCCACACCATGCCGCACCATGCCGCACCATGCCGCACCATGCCACACCATGCCACACCATGCCACACCATGCCACACCATGCCACACCATGCCACACCATGCGGCACGATGTCAAGCTGGCCTGTCCGCGCGCCACATCCTTCCAGCCAGGCTACTCCTTCTCGCCTTCCGCCAATCGCTCTCCCCACTCCGCACCCTCCGCTCCCCTCCTGCGTGTGCATCTCGCCCCCTCGCCCCTGCATGCAGGCGAACGCAGTGACCAACATGTCTGGAGTCATGTCCGATATGACCCTCGGCATGTCAGTGCCCTCCCGCCCACCTCACTCATCCTTTTGCCTCGTTATTCTCTGTATTGATTAATCATCCCAGCTTTGTCACAGCTTTTCTCACAAGTTCTGATAACTGTGTGCATGTGGTGGGGCATGTGGCATGTGCATGGCAGCATGTTTGCCATATTCGCCAAGACGGCATTCACAGGGGAGAATGAGAAGAACATGCACAGCTTCTGGTGAGGCGCTGCTCTTGTCTCTTCCTGCTCATGCTGCATTTCATCACCACAGCTGGTCGTTGACACTCACATGCATGTGTGTGCTGTGCCGTGTGCCATGTGTCCTGTGTGTGTGTGTGTGTGTGTGTGTGTGTGTGTGTGTGCGTGTGTGCGTGTGTGTGCGTGTGTGTGTGTGCGTGTGTGGTGTGGTGCCATGCAGGGAGATGCTGGCATACATCGCCAACACGCTCATCTTCGTGCTCAGGTACCGTCGCACGCCGCACCCACCCATGCACGTTGCTATCCACACCTGCCTTCCCCCTCAAGCCCAGTACGTCTTGGCTTTCGTGTTTGAACCTCTTGTGTCGCCCATTTCCTTGTCCGCCTATGTGGACATCCATCCCCATGCGTCCCCCCTCCGCCTCCCCCCCTGTGTGCCCCATGTGTGCAGTGGAGTGGTGATCGCCGAGAGCGTGCTGCACAACGCCAGCCACATCCAAGGTCAGGTGCCGCCCGCCTCTCACTCCCGCCCCGCCCTGCTCACCTCTCTCACACATGTGCTCACATCACACATCATTTGAAGAACGCGTCTCCTCCTCCTTGCTCACCTCCTCTTCTCCCTCTCCCTCCGTATCCCCATCCTCTTCTGCCCCCCCACCAGGCGTTGACTGGGGCTACATGCTGGCGCTGTTTGTCTTCGTGCAGCTGTCACGGGTGGTGGTGGTGGGGGTGCTGTACCCCGGGCTGGCCAGCAGCGGCTACGGGCTCACGTGGAAGGAGGCCATCATCCTCGTCTGGTCGGGGCTGCGCGGCGGCATCGCTCTCACACTCGCCCTCGTCGTCAGCGTGAGTGCTCTCTGCTCTCTGCTCTCTGCTCTCTGCTCTCTGCTCTCCGCTCTCCGCTCTCCGCTCTCCGCTCTCTGCTCTCTGCTCTCTGCTCTCTGCTCTCTGCTCTCTGCTCTCTGCTCTCTGCTCTCTG